TTATAAATGTTTAAAAATAGCATGCAAATCTTAAAAAAATCAGCATACGCAAAATAAAATACTAAATTCTAATAATTTCCTTATATCATGAAATTATGTGTTTGCTTACTCAGATAAATTATTCAAGCATTTCATAATAGATATGCAAGATTATGTATATCCTTTTATATTTTTTAATTGTGTTATAGCTAGCTCTGGGTAATGACCTTATTGCGGTAATAATAATAATAATAATAATAATAAAAACAACTTAAGACTGCTATTTGTTTGTGATTCATTTATTTATTTTTTTTTCTTCATTTTGCATATACTATTCAGTCTCATAAAAAGTATGGATATGTGCAATACGAATATTAAGTTATTTTATCTGAATTTCCGCATGTACTTAATTCTAAATACCAACATATAAACAATAATGTGGTAAAGTCCGATATGTAGATATATTAATAGCTATACCTACTGCCCAAAAAAATGTTTTCATTATTTACAAAAATTAGGTGTGAGGTACTTATTTTTAGGTTTTTTTTGGTATTTGGACTCTCCGAGAAATTTCGATTTTGAATTTAKATCATGTTAAATTCAACTTATGGCTATTACTCTATTTCATTACGTTATCCTTGCTATAGGACTGCCTTACATGCTATAGTGTTTGGAATGTTTATAAGCGTTTTACCGTATACAATTTTATTGCAATTAATAACATAAATAATTGATGTAGTAAATGTTAGTAAAAGTGCCAAACAATATAAAATATTAAGTACAAATTTGTTTGTATACCATATTTATAYACAGCGATTACATGGTAACTGATATTGTAATRGAAAAATGTTTTTACATTTTAAAATTCTAAAAATACATAATATTTAATCGGTGTACAAATGRCAATTTGATTTATTAAATATTATAAACTATAATATAATTATATCAAAGAAACACATAAGTGGTACGCATATTTCAACAATATTGTTATTTAATATTATATAATATAACAAAACAGAATAATTTACTTACATTTGAGTAAATTCCCAACTCCTTGTACGGGTTCACTGCAACCAATATCGTTCCTGTGTAAGTCTGGTAAAAAAMAACGTTAAGGAAAATTTTTTCAGATACAATAGGTACAGTATAATATCATAATATTATCCGTTGTTAGTTATTACATAYCTATAATAGTTTGTTAAAAGTGAGATTTTAATGTCATAAACTATTTTGTAATTTAAAAAAATTAATATTTACAATATGATTGACATARTTTATTTATTTATATAAAAAAAACATTTCTATTAGGAAATGCATACCTTTGAATCTGAAATACTTTAAAAATCTATGAATAACCCATAACATTTCTGTGAAAAAAAACTAAATATCTGAGATTAAAATGTTCAAATCTACATGGTTATAGGTCGATTACAAAATCTATAAATACACAATAAACTGTAGCTTTTGTGACCATTTTCACTTTTGCCTCCAAGTAAAGTATGTATAGTATTATATTCCCCCATGCTTTAAAATTTTCAATTGATTACCAATGTTAAAAATAAATTAATATTATTCCTTTTGTTTTATCTATTTATACATTATTAATATGATAAGAACACACATCAGGAGAGGATCTCTAGGTTATCAATAGCATTATTGTCAAATTAAATGCCAAAATAAAAAATATAGTTATCATGCTACTATTAARCTATGCACWTAAAACTGCCATGGAAAGTTGTCATAAATGAGATCAAATTTCATTATTTATGGATATGATACACTTATATTTATATCTTTTCCACGTGTACTTATAATATCATAATATTTATTATTAAAACGTTTTAATATTTTAAATACTATAAAATTAATATTAATTCAAATATGTTTTAAGACTTTCRCTAATATAATATTAATTGTATAGTTTTATTGAAATGCTTACATTAATGAACTAAAAACTAGTGATTTCTGTTAAGTGATAAAAGTTAAAAACGTTTTATAATAAATTATCGTTGCTACTCCTAAACCACAGTGTTGGGATCTTACGTTCAATTTACATTTCAATTACATTCATATTTTACAAACGACATGCTATCATCACTCACTACTAATATATTAAAAATAAAACATAAACGTGAAATAAATTCGTATTTTTAACYCAATTAATAGTTACGCTTCAGCTATCATACAATAGTCTGTGTCTAGGAAATAATAAAACCACACTATTTCAGCGATCAAAAATTAATTTACCAAAAAACACTATCAAAAATAGTAAGATATTGATAAAAAAATGTTTTAGGAAAACTTTTCTCGGGTCACATTTTATTCCGTTATTGAATTAACCTTAATTTACTCCAGAAAAATGCATTTAAAATTATTCAAAAATGTTTAATCTATAGATTTTTATTACAATTTCGGAAAATAAAGCTATTAAAATCAAAATCCAGTCTATCTGCATACAATACAATAAGTTTATCTTTCAAATTAAAAAAAAAAAACCCCCACCATCAAAGTCTGACTATTTTATGAGGTATGGGAGTTTTTCCTAACCTAAGACGAGTACCTATAACAAAAATGCGTCAGCTCCGACGTCCTKATACGAGTTCTTTTATAAATTATAAATTCACCATTCMAATTCTTCACCTAGTTCCCTTTGCACCTCACGTCGTATGTAATTGTTTGATMCAAACAGCAACAATGATCAACCTGCCTTATGAATTTATGATAGAGCCATTCACAGATGTTTTATTGTTTGTATCCTTCTTATATATTATTGTCGTTGCAATCACTATTGTTTTTGTTTTGTTGGCATTTATTTTCGTGCTGTGTTTTTTACACATATGCCTATATACTACCTACTACACGGCGAATAACTTACCTCTTTATGACGGCGGTGGCAATTTGAATCAATTCGTATAATATTACACACGCACTGTCAATGCCTTTTGTTTTCGCAAAAATCAAGTTGGTTTAAAAATCGAAACAACGGGACCGTGACCGCGCATGTGTGTGCGTTCTGTTCACCCCCCATATAGTGGTGCAGTGCCGACATATTGTGCTTACCGCGTTTATATATTACATGCATAAAAATACGTTAGAATATAATAATAAAAATCACAATGCGTAAATATAGACCCGAGATCAGGGCCCAAATCGGCCGATGAGGAGGAGGGYAACGGTTCAACCCTACACAGCCGGCCTCGGTTTTTCGTTACATRATCGCTAAGCRAGAACCCTATACATTATAATATTTATTGTACATGAAAAAAATCTAACGAATTTTTTCCATCTCCCCAGGAACATCGAGTTGGTATATATTAATATCGAAATGTTTTAAGAAAAATATTTTTCATCATACTGAAGATGATTATAATATAACTGTATAACCCCGACTAGTTATAGGCACACCGCATATTCGTACATTGAATAAAAAAAATAAAAAGAACCTTATGAAGTTATGACCTTCCGGCGTTTCATCACATATAGAATATATATACCTACATATTTCCAAAATCACAAAATCGACTTAACGATCATAAAATAATATGTTATCGATTTACGTGTATTGATTTAACGGCGTATTTCAATAATATATTTCTTCTACACAGTTTTTCAACTTTTGAAAACACAGAACAACTAAATTTTAATTACTTAATACTTAAACATTGAAAATATTAACTTACTCGCCAATACTACTTGTTACAGCTACATGAGAAACTATGCAAATTATATCGAAGGATCGTACAAAGCGTGAACTGTAGCAATCGAAACAGATTCTAGCATTTTCAATCAGTGATAATAAATAGAAACTTACGGCTCATACTAAACGCTTCGTGTAAGAGTGTGACAGGTGGTTTCGCATTTTTCGTATCAACAGTTATGGTCAATTATTATACGATTGAAAAATACAGAAACATAATATAACAGTATGATGACGGCGGTCAAAGATTAACAATAAATTATACAATATTATATGTTGTAGGTGCTCAGAGTGGTGAATCAAATAGGATCAACGATCCTAGCAAAATTATTCTTTGTCGCATTGATCTAAAGGTATTCTATAAATGTGGACATTAGCCAATAAGACAAGTAACCCTTAACAAAATATTTTATTCTCTATAGTCAACTTAATAATTTAAGTTTTAAAAGTACCTCTCTATTATATTAACTTGGACACTTATTTTTAACAAAATCTATTTCATACACATCCATAGTTCTAGTTTTAAAAATTAATATAAGTATTTATTTTTGTTAAATCACGCTATTTATACTTATTTTAAGTAAGAATTAACTAATAAAGTTCTTTGACTAAACAAAATTAGTTGATCCTATACGTAAATTATTAACGAGTGTGTATCAAATTACCTAGACCACCATCTACAAATTGTATTTCATATTTCAATAAGAAGAGGCATTCACATTTTTAATTAAGTTAATATTTCTCCCTAAATTAACTTTAGTTTTTAAACTATGAACACATAAATATAGTTAATTATTTACTTATAAATTAAATTTCTTRACGTTGACTTAACTAAATCAAGTAAATTTTATCCTCCAATAATTTGGTCTTATCTGTTGATCGATAATAATTTAAGATTAGTACCGGAAGGTAAGCCTTCAGAGTTTACAGTGAATTTGTGTGAACATTTCGYAAACATRGGTATTTGCAATAAAATTCGATGAAGGTAAAGTCTTATGTGGGACGCCTCCCCCTTATCGTCTTTTCATCTGGTCAATAAATCAATCTCTAAATTTTCCTTTGATATGTTATTACGTGGGTATATATATAAACCTCTCAGACTCGCACGTACACATCAAAAATGGTGGAGCAAAAATGACCAGCAACTATAATATATAGAACGCATTCGACGCTAATGGAAATACGTGTAGGTACCTATGTAGGTACTTGTATGCACTTGCATGTGTGTATTTCGCCATGTTTGTACCCATGTGGCATCTGTAGTCTTATCTGTGGCCACTCCAACGAGTACATGTTCGTAACGCAATTCCCAAAGTCATCGACGGGGATGACAATAATGGTAAACCCTCAACTCGTCACGATTCAATGACGAATTTTTCACGTAACAGCACAGTCATCGTTACGATCAGTCACCCCATCCTCTACCACCCCTCCTTTTCAACACCTATCCATCTAGCCACACATCTTCGATTGACGCAAATGCGTTAGAGGAAACCACACAGAGCGAATTCTACCGATTTCTACAGTATACGTATAATATATAGCCTATAGGTGCTATGCATGGTGCCGTTTAATAATGTATATCTACATATTATACTGAAACGGTACGACTTGTTGACAGGATGGCTTTTATGCTCTCGGAAAAAAAAAGAAAAAAAAGAACTAGGTCGAGTGGTTTACCACTTCCACAGTGTACGTAAAATATATAAACACGTCGCGGGAAGGACGAATGAGAAAACAAAAAAATAATAATCGGGGCAAGAGTATATAATATACACGCCCGCKCGTAAACGTACTTGCGAGTGCCATATAATTGCGTATATTATATGTAGGTACCTGCATAGTATTTTTGTTATGACGCAATTAAGTAACACGAAATTTGTGCCCAAGTGTGTTCACGTATTATAATTTGTGCGAATCGTGTCTGGTGCGAGAATGCAGAGTACACCGTTAACGAGCTGAAAACTAAAATTGAAAAAAGCGTCTCAAAAGTCGATTTTAATTGAGTTTTATATTTATAACGTTAACACGTCATATAATATAATATTACAAATATGTTCGGAAGTTCATGCTTAAACTTATATTTTCTTGAGCAAAGATTAACGGAATGGCAAAATAGTATGTGTACGCAGCTGCGCACATACAATATGAAGCATATTTTAAGTATTCAATTTGTCATATTTGAAAAATTTATAATTCTTATTTTTATTGCTTTTTAAGCATTTGTATAATAGTCTTTTTTCAATATCTAAAATTTGAATTTATAATGGTGTAAAATTAATGTAATATTATAAATATTTAAACCTATGAATTTTTTTTTTTTTTATGATTGATCTAAGTAATCATTAAATTAGTGTAGTCCAATGTGGCCAGTACGAATTCTCCAGCATACTCAATA